TCTCTATAGATAGTAACAATTCTTGACAGTTCTTCATCTCTACTTAATATTACTGAAGTTCCTTTTGTGTACTGGGAGAAGTTTGTTTATTATTCATTCCACAGCTGACAGTTCACCCATTCACCCTTCCAGTCCTGCTGACTGCAGTACAGTGGCATTCCCAGAGTGATGGCTCAGTGATGCCATCTCATCTAGAGTCTAAAGAACCTGCCAGACATCCAAATAGAGAATGTGAAGGAGCCCTACAGGGTAGAATATTATTGCCCTGTACAAATATATGATATGCTCAAAGTTTGAACTCAATAATTCTTACTACATGTCTTCTTTATTGAGCAAGACCTTCAAGTTTTTAATGATTCACATAATGGCAATTCAAATGCCCCTGATTGGAACCATAACACACCTTTCTTCTTATATTTGTTTTGCTCCCCTGGCGCTTTTTGTCTTAAAGTACAAAATGACAATCAAACATATAATTAGTTATCATGAGAACATTGTCAGGAGGGCTTCCTCCTTTGCTCCAGTTTCTGAAATTCGGGCTCTAGAGATGTGGGTAACTTGCTTGCTTTCTTCCTTCTTCATCCCATTTTTTACTCTTTGTTCTCCTCACTGGGTTAAAAGAGCTGTATTTTTGGAAAATTCACCATTGTGCAGCTAATTGTTATCATTTACAGAGACACAGCTGAACTTGTGGGGAAGGTGGAACCACAACTCTTCAGTGCAGTTCTGTTTATTAAGAGAATAAACCCCTCCCTTTCTGTAACACATGTAGAAAACATTTAATGTACTGAACACACAGTGCAGAACCACAAAAAAGAGTGAAAATCAGCTGAGAAAACTCCAGTGAAGTTTTTGAGCTCTGTAGCTCTCATAAAGTTAACATTTTTCAGTCCTTAAACTGGTGAATATTTTATTGTTGGTATTCAAATTCAGTCTTAAGGCTGTAGGCTTGAAACATTGGTTCACGTTTCATCAGGCTAGAGAGAAGCTTCACTTCCACTCCTGACTACTCCCTCTCTTAAACCCAGCAGCTGCATATAGTAAATAAACAAAAGTTCTGTAGTAATGTTCTCTTGACATCTTGGCAGCAAAAAGAAAAGGAAAGAAAAGAAAGAAAGAGTGAGACAGGTTATTAAGAGGTTATTAACAAAATGCCAAAGAGATTTTCCCAAGAAACCCTCTGTTCCAATCCCTCTAAAACTGTGCATGTGTTATATTTTACTTCTTGGTGCCTAAGGGGAGATTTTGCCAATATTTTCAAATAATCAAGACATGGACAGCTGCAGCCTCTGGAGCAATGGGCTGGGAGTGGGATCTGTGTGTGAGCAGCGAGGAGCTCCGGGAGGTGCAGTGGGAGGTTGTGACTGACCCTGGGAATTCGGAGTGATTCTGCCCAGAAAGTGTGACAAATAAACCCTGAATATTGAGACACAGCAAGACAGCACTGCAGCTCTCCTGGGAGAGTTTCCTCCACGGATCTCTGTGCGTCATCGGCACAATGAAGAAGTTGTTGATTTTGCAGACATTCCTTCCCCAGCCTGATAAGTTGATATATATTGTTTAACATGATAATGTAGCAAGCTGTTGTTTTGTGGTTTGAAAGCCAGCTGCATTTGATTGATGCCAGGAATGGAAGTATTTGTAAAACGACACTGAATTAGATGTAGTCGGTTTATGGGCCTGGGGAAATGAATCTTTTATGAAGAATAAAAGTTTATGATGTAGGAGAAAATACTGAAGAAGTGTACATCTTGAATGAAGATCTTTTGGACTGGATGCCTGTTGCAGAGCCTTGCAAAACATACATTTGGGCCACTATATTTTTAAGAAGGAGATCTCTCTATTAACATTATCCTTTGTGGTGGTCCAATCCCACTTTGTCATTTGTGTTCTCCCAATGGACACCTCAATTAGGATAGGGAATTTCTTCCCTGGAAATGTAGCTATTAGACTTCTCCAAAGGGTTCCAGGTGTATGTTTAATCTTGTGATTTTTGAGGCAACAGCCACAAATATGAAGCACATTCGGGTTTAGTTTTCTGTATTGATTCCCAAATAAAAACCAGACACAACCTGTACTAATGCAAAAAAAAACATCTAAAGACAACCCACATTTTATGTGCATTTTTACACATAATGAGAAGTTGTGAGAATAGAATAACTTTAAAATTAGATTTCAATGCCATTTTGATGGCAACCAGAAACCAATACCACAAAACTTTTGAGAGAAGAAGCATAGAGAAAAAGATGTATTTAATTCTCTCTAGCTTTCCTGAAGCTGGCATCCCTATGCAAAATGAATGTAAAATTCTGCTCATCTGAGTTGCTGGAATTCCTATTTGTATGCACCAAAAGAATGATTGCAGGGAAGAAGATAATGTCTAGTGAGTTGAAAGGTTAAAGAACTGCAGCTGGCAAATCAGAATCAGATTCAGCCATTATGTTAAACCAGTTCTATGTCAGTGTAACAAGAGATTAGGTGTTTTACATCAGATCTTAAAATTTAAATATGCCTTGCACTGTTTTATCATCAGGAATACTTCAGTAGGACAACTGTATAAATAGGATTTCTACTTGAATATCTGTTGTAATAAGTTTCTAAATCTCTGCTGAGCATCAACTCATCTAATAGATTAATAATAATAGCAACTGTGTATTCATTCAAGATGTTTTCTACCGCACTTGAGTATGGCATCTTGTTAAGGAGCATTCTTCAGGAAATCATTGAGTACAGAAACCCGTTTAATTTCACATGAACTTGGGCACTCTTTAAGATCCCTTGAAGATTTGCCCTAGTCCTTATTTATTTCCCTGAAACCCTGTGACTGGGAGAGCCTTGTCAAACATGCTGTCTAACATTGATATAAAAAAATCTTCCCAGAAGTGTGATAAATTTCTAAAAACAGCACATTGTGAAAATAGGCTGAATCTTAATTCTTAAAAAAAAAAAGAAAGCAGTTCTTTTCTCTCTTTTCTTCTGAATCAGTCTCACACAAAGTAGGTGAAAATATCAGGGCTGGGATCATCTTGTAACACCGGAAAACATGGCATAGTATCCAGTGGTAAGCTTCTTTTTGAGCTGTCTGACCTTTAATCACTGCTGAATAAAACCAACATGCTGTCAGGTCTCTCTTATTTTTCTCAAGGGGGTAACTCTGCCCAAAGTAGCAATGAAATAAAACCTTTGAGAGCTTACATTCAAGGTCACTACGAGAAGAGGCAACACTGTACTCTGGGAACTACAACAAAAAAGGGGGAAAAAAAGAAGATGAGTGTCTAAACAAGCCAGCTGAGTTTGTTTAACAGTGATCAGGCAGTTGTTATACCAGTCTGTAAGTAAGACTGGGTTTGTTGGGTTTTTTTACCACAATATTTTTTTTTATTTCATTTTTTTAAATCCAAGACCTTCAGAAAGGAAAAAAAACTCACTGTACACGAATGATACATATTTCTGTTATTGAGGCACTTGCAATCTAATGTCTTAGGCCTTGTCTGTATCAGGTTTTAACCTTTCATAATTATTTTGTCTCAGAAGTCTCTGTGAATACTGAAAACAGATCCTATGGTCTTACAGGTCTATGAAGAAATGAAAATGCTGTATTTAAATTGTGTTGATAGTGATAGTTTCAAATAATACTTGCCCAGTCTGTGGGGAAAAGAAAGGTGAGTTTCCAAAGAGGAATTATTCTGTAACAAAGAATTATGGCTCACCCTGACACTCTGATTCACACATGAGATAATGGTGTCACTGCAAAGTTACTTTGATGGAAATGGTGTAGATCATGGATTCTGAAAAATTGCTTCAGTTGGGATTTTTAGGCCAAAGATTGGATCCTTTCCTAATTCCTTGCTTTACAGTTTGCTAATATCTCCCATCAATCTGTTACTTAAAGGTGATTCACTATTGAAATGAATTTCTTGATTTGTTCATGGGTTTTTTTGTTATTTTATAGAATCTCATTCTGTCTTCAGCTCAATATTACCAGAAATATTTATTTTTATTTAGTTAATAAGTAATTAATTTATTTAATATTTAATTATAAAATAATTAACATTATTTAGTTAGATTGCTTTCCAAATTAATGCTTACATTTACAATTATAGATGAACTGATGAAGAAATCATTTTGGTCTAGGGGTGAGGATCTCACAGTTCAGCCCAGGTGTCTCATTACACCTTTTCTTTGTTTCTCAATGTACAGTGCTGATAAAATGCTGACAGAATTTTGCAGCCTCTGGGCTGCCAGTCTGGGGGAGAGGAAAATCCTCAATCCAGAGATGCAGGATGTGCTCCCCTCCTAAGCATGGGACTGGCAGCAGCTCACTCCTCTCTCTATTAACTCTGATAAAGAAGCAAAGTGAGTTTTTAACTCTGCACAATATTTAGGGGTGTGTGCTGGGTGCTGCATTTCCCTTATTGCCCTCTGCAGCAGGACTGTGTGCTCAGGGAATTTCCTGTCACAGAAACCTTCACCTCTGGAAGGACAGTGGGGCAACAGAGATGGGGAGCTTATAGATGTTCATAAAATTTGCTCATAAATTTGTACAAATTGAAATTAGAGCAATGTAGCCTTTAACAATTGCAACATTTCTTATTGACACAAATGACATCCAATACATTTTGAACTGCAACACTTTATCACGCAAGTAGAGACCTTCCAGATATTTCAGTATTGTTTTCACTGTAGCCACCTGTGGACTTTCTGCCCTCAGAATTTAAAGTGCAAGAGATACACCTGTAGTTCATTTAGTGAAATGCAATTACTCTGGGTGGCTTCAAAGCACAGAGATTCCAACACAGGGAATTTGTGTTAGAGCACACGAGTCTCCTGCTGAATGAACAAGCAAAGACAATCTGAACACAAGTACAACCTAAATATCAGGTGGAACTACCCAGTGGTGTTGATGAGGAATTTACTGATTGGAGCTCCCTGGCTGTCCAGGCAGCCCAGTTTGAGAGGTTTTTTTGCTCAGTGCCTGCTGTGTGTGCCCCTTTCCCCAGGAACCACCGTGATGCGCATGGCAGCGTTCGACGCCGACGACGCCAGCACGGACAACGCTCTCCTGCGCTACAACATCCTCAAGCAGACCCCCACCAAACCCTCCCCAAACATGTTCTACATCGACCCAGAGAAGGGAGACATTGTCACAGTGGTGTCACCCGCGCTGCTGGACAGGGAGGTAAGAGAGCACCTTCCAATCTCCAGTCTCACGCTTTAATGGTTGTGCCTCGAATTTTCTTCTGGGAGGTGCAAAGAGGTTCTGATGTTGTTGTGTGGAGAGGCAGATGCTCGTTTTTGGGGAGTCTTTTAATAGTTTTATTTATTTCTTACTTGGACCTAAGCTCTGATCAGTATTTATAAATCTGGTAGTTCATAATTTCTGTGCAAGACATTTAATGTTGTGTGTTAGAGAGAAGATCTCAGGATTAAGTGGAATTCAACTTAGAGTTAGTAATTGACACCTAGAACTAATTGTGCATATAGCTCACTGAGATTATTAGTTTAGTGCTCTATATCTTTCCTAGAATATTTTTATGAGTGGACTTAATGAACTAATTAACTTGGTACCCCATAGCCAAAAAAAGGAAATACAAGAAGGGGTAGGAAAGGAACAGGTAATCTCCAGGTGGCTTTAAGGTGAATTGCCATAGTGCCAAAATCTATGCTTATAACAGATCATTAACATTATGAGAGCATAAATTGATTGGCAAAGAAAGCTTAGATATGATCATTTAATGTTCAGAAGATAATAAAGTAGAGGCAATCTCTTAATCCAAAGGTTTAGGTACCAGAATATATAAAATCTTGGCACAAAAAAGAGTTACTCTATAAATCACAATTTCCTTTGATGAAGTAGCCCTGAGCTCTTTTAGATTCCTTGAGACATCCAAATTCTGTTCTTGCAGGATGTTTCAGGTGTGTGCTGAGTCACTGAGTCTCCTAAGTTGATTAGACTCAGCATTGTCCAATGTTCTCAATATTCAGCACATTATTTTTCATTTTACCTGATGAAAACGCTGCCCCATACATTTTCCTTTCGAGGTGGGTACTTTGTTCTACAGGCTTTTCTAAGAGCAAGCATTTAATGGGTAAATCAGCCACAGACACCAGGCACACAGTGCAGTAAAACTAAGGGTTAAACTAAGGTCTAGGCGTGTAGGTCTGTGTTTTTAAGTTTAAAGGGATTCTAATTTTATTCATGTTTGAGTGGCTGGCTGCAGAATGGTGCCCAAGTTAAAGATTGTATAATCACTGCCTTTTTTCCCCTTAAGTTTCCCTTCTAAATTCATTGTTTCAGATCAAAAGCTTTTTGCTGTTGTCTAAAGACAGTTTTAGGTATTTTTATTCCTCATAGATAACCATTCCCCAGATTAAACCAATTTACTCAAAATTAGAAAATCAATGGAAGGGAATGAACATGGATGCTTTTCTCAGTGCCTTCCACAGGTCACTGGTGATTCATGAAATAATGATTCTGTCTCCATGCAAGAAACCTGGCCTCAGCTGAATGGGTGCTATGGCTGGCTAGTATATCCTGAAAGCAGAATTCCTCATGGTTTTTAACAATAATCAATTCCATACCTTTACTTTGAAGGTGACACGACAAGCTGCGATCTGTTGAAATTCCAGAGGAATTTTTGTTGTTCCAAATCTGAATGGTTTACAAGCCAAAACGTACAGCTGTGTGCGATTTTAACACTAAAATTAAGGATTATCTGCAGTTAAAATCCAGTCTCACTTTGTCTTGTCAGAGGAAAGGCTTGGGAAAAAGGATGTTTATTTTTTCCCAAGAAGCTGTGTGCTGTCTGTCATCTTCGTGGGTTCAGCCTCTTCCCCTTCCTGCCCATATGTCTTGAGTGGTGGTCAGGCCTCCTTTTTCAGATCCGTGGAGCTGCCATGCATGGTCAAATGTGTATAACTTCTATTTTTAACCATAATTGCAGCTTTTAGAGACAAGCTGCCTAATGGTTTTCTTCTGGAAAAATAAAATCTGGGTACCAACTTAATATTGATGTTATATAAATAACTTTTGTGTATTTCTGTGTGGCTCGTGAAATGGAATTATTATAAGAAATTGTCGGTGTGAGGTGGGGACAGAGGGGAGGAAAACACGGGAGAGGAAATGTCTGAGTAGTTTAGGAGGAAGAAATGTCTGACTGGATTCCTGCTTGGGGAATAAGGTGTCTACACATCAGCAGGTTTGAATAAGTGGATTTCTGGAAAGGTGTTTGGCTGGAGGGAGTTCCATGTGCCATTCCTCTGCAGGATAACTGCTGGTATTAATGCCTGATTATTGGGAACCCGTGTAAATCCTAAATGCTTTGGCTCTTTGTCATGATCTTGAACGAAAAGTGTTGTAGAAACATGGGAGGAAGAAGAGTTCTTTCCCCTGAACACCTTGCTAGAAGGTGTGAAACACCAGAGGACAAAAACTGGAGACTGAGGACAAAATCCTCATGAAGGAGAATTAGTGAGACAAGAATGGTTTTATTTCAGCAATTCTTATCTTGCTTTTCTTGGTGTCTCAGAGGACAATGGGCTATAGAAGTCATGAAGGGGAAGCAGCAAATCCTTCCATCAGGTTTTTCACTGCTTGAAAAAGAGAATGGATGTTGGGAGCAGCTTGGCTGGTCCTGTTTGATGTCTGGGACTTGAGTCAGCAACATTTGCAGGTGTTGCTTATCAGAGTTTGTCTAGGGGTTGAGGGGAAAGTGAGATTGTGCTGGGGAATTCCACAGTCCAGACACTACAAAAACTGGTCCTGGTGAATCTGATTATTCATCATTTCCAGTTCAAACCTGCAGCTTCTCCTAGGTTTTATGTAAAACTTTAACTGGGTCAACAACTGCCTGTGATTGTAGGTGTGCTCTTTAAAACTGTAGCAGCCCTAGACACCAATTAAAAAGCTGAATTAATGTAAAAGTTCCCTAGGATGAACATGGAGAGAACTATTTTTCACCATTAATGTGTATATGCACCAGGGGTTTATATGAACACTTTCAAAGCATGTTAAAACACTGATGAAAATAAGTCCTATTTTCCATCTCTCTGTAACATTTACCACTGCTTGGTTCTTGATGTTTTTGGGAAAGCCTTCACTGCCTTTAAGACAAATTAGCTGAATATAAATTGTTTGAGGGGTGGTTTTGGTCTTTTTTTATTTTAAGTATGATTTATTTCATTTTTGTGCATCAGAGGGAACAGGAGACTGGAGGTTTTGCCCAGTGGGAGACAGAGATGTAGACATAGAAAACATCTGGCAGGTTTTGCCCATAATGGATTGTCTATATTGTTTCTCCATGCTTCAGAATTTTCAGAAAAGTAGCTATGGCATAGCCTAGACATACTTGTTCAGAGCAAAGAATCAAAATAGAGGTATTTATATTAAAATGAAATAAATTTTGGGCATCTAGAGAGCTCAGTTTTTAAATCCAATGATATAAGTAGGAGAATCTTTGTATACATTAGTAAATATCTATGCTAATAATATTAAGAGATGAAAGAATAGTTTTCTTTCTAAAGTATTATCAGGAAGCACAAAGTTATTTCTAAGCAGACACTTTTAAAACAAAATTTAGAAGGAAAAAAGAAAGAATAAGCCTTTTCCTGGTCCACTCCATCTGTGCATCTTAGCTATGCAGGATCAGCCCAAAGTGAAGAGAATTTTTTTTTTAATTCCTACAAATCTTCAAAATTTCTTTTTCTGTGGCTCTCATTCATTAAATCTGTTGCTAAATGGGAGTTTGGAGATAAGGATGCTCCTGTTAGGAATTCTCTGGGAGTTGGGGCAGGGATGGGTGATGGAGTTGCTTTGGAGCTGTTTTCTTCATGGAATATTCTCTACAAAAAAATCCTTCTGTCCTGTCTGCACAAAAAGGGTGTGCAGCAACCCCCCAGGCTCCATCCAGCAGGGTGCTGAGGGAACACCTCCTGCCTCCAAGGAAACAGCACAGAGCAGGATTTGTATTTATATGCCAGCAGATTTTAATTTATAAATTTTTTAGATTCAAAATAGTTTCCAAAAGTGCATGATCCTCGGGGTTTAAAGCAAAACTCAGGTAATTTCTCAAAGAACATCCATTTTCATTTTCAGAAGGCAGGTAAGGACACATTTTTGAAGATTAATGTGGGTTGTTTTATTTTTTTTTTTCTTGTGGGAGTTAGGCATCCTTGAATGTGTCAGTAATAAAGATTGAAGAGTGTTAGGGGGCAAATTATACCTCCAGGTATCCGTTAGAGAATACATTTTGATTCATAAATTCAGAGGAGAAGGATGCCCTCCATCAAAGTATATGGTCTAAATGACACAAAATAGAGCACAACAGGGAAAGAGAGTAAAAAAGCAAGAAAAACAGGGGGAGGGGAAGAAGTTGGAAAGAAACCTTGAGGAAATGTCCTAAATTTCAGGGATGGAGACACCAGTTCAAAGTGACACTTCCCTGCAGTGAGAGGAAAATAACACTCCTCATGTGCATAAGCAATGAAAACACTTGTGGTCTTGTAGAATCAACTCTGAAATTTCCTTTATGGGTCAGGAATTGTGTTTGCTGTTTGCCCACAGTGCTGTTTTGCCAGTGTTACAGACCCCTGTGCTCTGTAGGAAAGTAACTGTGATTTGTATAAACTTCATGACTAAAGTACTGAAAGAAAGCTGTCACCACAGTTGCTTAAGTGAAATATTTACTTCTCACAGTTTGAGAAGTAACCTGCTTCTGCTTTTGATAGGAACTGCTGTGCTTAATTTGAGTGAAAGTTAGCAAATGGTTTGAGCTGTCTGCTGCATGCTGATCTGTGTGCTGGCACATGTGTTTTCAAACACCTCAAGGAAACCAGTTCAAGTGTTTTGTGGTTGTGAGAGGAGACCCTGGGCTAGCCTGGGCTGGCTGAGATGTGTGTTCTGCACTGGGGCTGACTCTGGCAGGCTTCCACAAGCTCAGGAAGCAGCTGCTGTGTTCTGTGACCATTTGAACCAATCTTGGTGCATCAATCTGCCATGCTTTGAGTCATAAACACTTTTTCCTCTCCTTATGACTTGGGAAAGTGGAGCTTTTGCCGTAAACTGTGAGAAAGCTGGTGTTACATCAGCCCACAGAGCTCATGTTTGTGTGAACTGCTCACGATAACAAAGATGGTTTGGGGTCTGGAGCATCTCCCTGCTGAGGGGAGGCTGTGGGAGCT